TAGTTCTAGATGAACACACAATATCTTTATTTTTATGTGACGCTAAGAATTGATTCCAGTGCCTCACACATGTGAGGCAAATACTTTTTTACTGAGCTACAGCCCCAACCCATATATATCTCTATATTTATATCTATCTATTTCTCTCTATATATATCTTATATTTTATAATGTATACCCAAAAAGTAGTTCTAAAATTAAAAATAAAAAACAAGGGGCTGGGGTTGTGGCTCAGTGGTAAAACACTTGCCAAACATGTGAGAGGCACTGGGTTTGATGTTCAGCACCACATAAAAAAAATAAAATAAAGATAGTGTATCCAACTACAACTAAAAAAATTTTAAAAAACCCAACAATACAGGGGCTTGGGCTGTGTAGCTTAGTTGTAGAATGCTCATCTAGCACATGTGAGGCCCGGGGTTTGATACTCAGCACCACATAAAAAATAAATAATAAAGATTTTGTGTCCATCTGCAACCAAAAAAACTATTTTTTAAAAACAAACAAACAAAAAATACAAATAACTTTTAGAACAGTTATACCCATCACATGAAGTGGTCGCAATACAAGGTATCAAACAGAAGGTATTGTTAAATTAATTGCTATTATATTGATGTATTGATAAACTACATTGCCTCAAACAGAACATCTGGCCACCGATTACTCATATTTACTTTGCCTTCAAATTCCTCAAAATTTTCTTTTTGTCTTCCTGATTCCACTCTATAGGAAAATCACAGGGGTAGTTTGGAGATTCTTTAAGAAGATGACTGTAAGCAAATCTACTTTGTAGTCCTGGGGTTTCTCTCACACTCAGTGTCATTTTCATGCTATTTTGAAGTTTCTTAAGAAGATCAAATATTATTAATATAAACAACTGTTCACAAAAAGTCACTGCAGTATCTGTGCACTCCTTTCGAAAAAAATACATTTTGAATTATTGCAACTAATGGAACCTAGTAGAAAAGCTCCTAAGAAAGTTCTTTTCATGGAAATGGCCTCACTTTCATTTTAATGTTGTTACCTAAGAGCACATCTTTCCAAGGTGATAGGTGAGCTGCAGTTGTCTGTTCATTTCTAAGAATGAGGCCAACAGAAGTGCTAGCCCAGACCATGACATAGCTGGCTGAGGCCTGCCAAGTGGTAGGTTGTACTGCAGCAGGGCAAGTGCCAAGACAAAGAGAGTTTTATTTTGTGGCACTGACACCCCAGGATTCCTGTTCATTGGGTTCAGGTTTTGGCTTGGGGATGAGTGTCTGGCTGCCAGCCAGGTGGAGAGAGAAGGGTAGATGACTGTTTCATACACAGAACTTTAGTTAATGTTCCTGTTTTCCACCTCTGTTCTTGAGACACCCCCCACCAGTTGTCCTGCAGCCTCCAGGCCTGGGTTCTGCTTCTTCACCCCACAATGCTCTTCAAAGCCATCAGATAACCTTGACCTCAAACATGCACTTGGGGACTCATTAGCAGATGGATGAAAACGAAAGTTCCAGGAATGGCTGGCCTCACTTAGGGAGGGAATCTGTGGCTTCCCAGTAGCCAGAGTGCTGGCTTTAGCTCACTTTCTTCCCATGTGTCCTTGAGAGTGAAGGCATCTTGCCAGGCCTCAGTTCACGTTCTCCTTCAGTAAGTTGTTTGGATTCTCAAGTAATGTTTGCCTAGAGAAGTTCTGGCAGAGGACACTGTCACTGTTCTTCCCTCACCACAGCCTTCAAGGCCAGGGCTTCTGAGGAACATGGTGCAGATACGGGTGCCCAGGCTTTCTCAGTAGTCTAAAGTGGCTTGCCCTTGATTCCAGAGGGTCAGGCACCACATGACCCACTTGGGATACACCATCAGATCTTGGCAAAGTGTGGGGAAGCTGCTTAGGTGGAATGAGCAGATGACTTGGAGTGACCCTTCTTTCTTGTAGGGGCACCAGCTGCAGAAGCCCAGAATGTCACGAGAGACAGTGCATGGCAGTGCCCATCCCCAAGAGTATCCAGGCAGCTTGCAAGGCATGAGGTTTCATTATGAACGGCAAGAGCTGCACCTTGAGTGCTCCAGGCAAGGACCAGTATGGGCAGAGAGCCTAGTGAGCAGCCTGGCCAGGAAGGAGTGTGGTTGCTTGAAATATTGGGGTTCAGTTGCCTCCTGGCCTTTGGAAACCTACATCCATTCTTTGGCAGCCTTGACTAGGCTGACTTTTCTTCCTGAGCTCACCCTGCTATAGTGGGGGCAGGCCGGCCTCTTGCAGAGAACTGGAGTGAACACACACACACATACACACACACACACACACACACAGAGAGAGAGAGAGAGAGAGAGAGAGAAGGAAGCTGGCCCTGGGTCCTGCTAGGTCATGCCAGGCTGGCTGCTTCTCACCCAGGGGTACTTGGGCCTGCTAAAGGGTAGCAAAACTACTTCTTGTTTTAACTTCACACTCCCCTCTGCCCCCACTGGCATGCCTCTGGCTTTCTGGAAAAGCCTTGCTCTGCTTTTGGTCCCTCTATAGCTGCACATGATCACTGGACGCCTGCGTGCCCTCGAGGACCAGGGCGCCACCTGGCGGCACAGGGAGGCTGTGTTCTTCACCATGCTGGTGTCTGCCTGCATCGCCAACCTGTGGCTATGGATGCGCCAGTGATGCTTCACAGGCACTTCAGCACAGCCAGAGCCTCTGCTCCCTCCCCTCGTCCCTTTTCTCCCAGAGCTGCCTTGTCCCAGCCTCCTTCTAGCCTCTAGGTAGGATCAGGGAGGTTCTAGCTGCTGGAACCTGGAGGAAGTCTGCATGAGCTGAGATGTGCCGTCTTGGAGGGAGAGGAGAGAGTGACATCCGCCCCTCCAGCAGCACCAGTGGCAGGCACTGCCTGCTTGCTTGTGAGGGCTCCCTGGGCCTTGCCTCCGTGGCTCCAGCTTCCTGCCTGCTCTGTTCCAACCTCTGTGGCAAGGTTTGCTTCGGCTTTCTCCCCTGTTCTTCCATTAGTGTGCAGGGCTCCACACAAAGAACATGCTCAATAAAATTCTAATGGCAACAGCAAAACCTGGTGCTTGAGGTTCTTATATACATGACTCATGTGCGCCAGTAGTGGGAAGGTGCACTCGGTAAAAATCCCTCTAGTGAAAGGCCCTGTGGCTGGAACTTGGCTGCTGACAATGTCCCAGGGACCCTGTTGCCCTCCTCCCCTTTCCCTTCCCAGCCCTCAGTGTCCCCAGCCCAGCAGAGGGTTTCTTTAATGGCCAGGCTTTATAAAGACCTTCTTGTTGTTATTGTGCCAATGGGTATGTGCAGGGAAGCAGTTCTGTAGGGCATGTTGGCCCAGGTGTTGCCCAGACTCAATCACAGCTAAGCTCCTGGAAGGGACCAGAAGCTGCTCCATTTACCCAGGAGGAAACTGAGTTCCAGAGAGGGGAAACATGTCCCTGGGCTTGTCTAGCATGATAGGAACAGAGCAAGGTCTTGGATGGGTTTTCCTGAGTTCTCGTCTACAAAGTAGCTTGCCACCTATGGATTTTTTGGGGGGATGAAGTCCTGACACGGTTCTGAATGCTGGAGTTTCCTGGTGGGCAGAAGAAAAGAGTGGCCTTAAGGGGATCACGTGAGGGTAAGCATCTTTGCCTCCTTAGCTTCTAGACCTTCTGCTCCCTTTGGATGTTTCCTGGATCCACAGCCTCATGAAATACATTTAGGACAGGGTCACCCATGGTGCAGGTGTGCCAGGTTGCTGGAGCCTTGTGGAAGAGCTGCTGCCAATTTCCTTGGGGCTCAGGGATCAATACACATCTGTGTAGAGATGGAGACCCAGGGCTTTCTCATTGGCTTTATGACTAAATGGACCTTTCTCTGTTCCCCAAGTCCGTTGAGGTTTCTCTGTATCTATAAAGGTGGAGAGTGTGTCATTAGATATGAGATGAACATAACCATCCGTGCATATGAGGGTGGAGGAGAAGGATGGAAGGAAAGAGGAAGAGCACAGAGGGGGAAATATTGGAGGGAATGAGAGGGACAAACACAGAGATAGAGAAGGAGAGAAGAAAGGAAAGAGGGAGAGAGTGGGTGAAAGAAGAGGCTTGAGTTCCAGCACCTTTTCTGCCAGGACCCTGTCTCTCTCTGATCCTCGGTAGGTTTCTCCCTCTTCTGGACTGCAGTACTTCTGAAAGGATGCAGGATCTCCTGTGAGCCCTGTAAGACACCATATATGTGGCTCCTGGAGCCTTGGCCCTGCTGAAAGTTGAGGCAATGACACTTAGCGAAGAAACAGTTGGTAGATTTTCTCTCTGGCCCCAGAGCAGAGGGGATAGTGGGGTGCCAGAAGAAATCTCTCTGCTGAATAGGGAGACAGCAACACCCAATGATAAGTAATTTTTATTAGGAGATCCAAGAGAGCCCAGGAGGGCCAAGGGTGTTCCCTGTCCCTTCCAAATGGGCCCTGGAGACCCAGGAATTGCTTGAGGGCCAGAAGCAAGGCTGAGAGACCCTCTTGAAGGCCATCCTTCTACCCTTTAGAGCCTCAGGACAGACCATGGTCCAAGACACAGAGGAATATTAAAAGAAGCAGGGAGATGGAGCATCCCAGCTGTTCAGACAGAGGTAGCATGTGGCCCTTCCTGCCCACATCTCAGTATACCCACTGCCTTTGGTTCCATGGAAACATTCAAGGGGAGCAGAGGGGTTAGAAGCTAAGGAGGCAAAGATGCTTGCCCTCACATGGTCCCCTTAAACCCACTCCTTTCTTCTGCCCACCAGGAAACTCTGAGGAAGACCTGACTGTAGCAGAGACAGAGACAGGCTGGGTCTGCCCTCTGGGCCCAGCTATGTGTGTACCTGCGCAGACATAGCCCTGTTTGCGGAAAGTCTCAGGTTGAAAATATGTTGTGAAATAAAGATTCCCCTCTGGGAGCAATTTAGTTGAGTTGCAAACAAACAGCACGGTGGCCCCCATGGAGAAACACCTCCTGAGCTAGGTGAGCTCACATGGAGACCTTGACTGGGCTCTGCCTGCCTCTCTGGCCTGCCCTGAAATGTGGACAGTGGGTGGGTACCTGGCATGGCCTGGGGCTCACTTCCTAGCCATGCTTTCAAGTTGACTGCCTGCCCCACCAAGAAGGCCTCAGAGACCTCCTGAGGGGAAGTTCAGCCAGAACTGCTCTTAATGGCCTCTATGGCAGCCTGGGAGATGGACACTGGGCCTCTCTGCAGGGTTTCTCCTCCCCCTCCTCCTTCTCCTCCTCCTCCTTCTCCTCTTCCTCCTCCTCCTTCTTTTTTTAAACAAAACAAATTGAACCCAGGGCCTCTTCCACATGCTAGACCAACACTCTATCACTCTGTCCTTAAGGACCCCTCTGCAGGGTTCATTAAGGGGCATGCAAACTCTCTGTGTTGTACCATGTGGATTAAATGCACTGTATGTGTTCCATGATTTTTCACTTAGACCTCTCTGCACAGCTCCCTGAGGGAGGAGCTTATCTTCCAAGCCATCTGTGCAGGTGTAGAAAGCATATACCTCTGGTCAAGCCCTGCCTACCAAGCTGGGAAGAGGCTGAAACTTAATATTCCAGTTCTTCCATTTCGGTTGGCCTCCCAGCAGCTGGGGGAAGGCAGTTGTGGAAAGTGATCTTGTGGGGAGGGGTCATGAAGGCGCAGGGAGGGGCTCTGGTACACCTAGGAGCAGCCTGAAATATCAGGCCTCTTGAAAAGGACTCAAAGGTTTACTGCCCCAGGATCTCTTGCCTCTTTTCCTTCCCCAACTCTATCCTTCTTTGAAGCCAAGTCCAAGGAATCTTAGAGGGAGGGCTGGATTTGACCCTCAGGCTGGCCTCACCTTGGGATCCTCATCTTTCACAGATTCTTTCTGGCTTGGCCTCCAGTCAGGTGGGCTGGCTTGGACTGTGCCAACACTCCAAAGCAGGTGCATGGCAGCCTCTAGTCTCCAGAGGCAAAGCCCTGAGCATGCTCCATGCAAGGATGGATCCCTTGGGGACCTTGGGAGGGGCCAGCTCCTGGATCTGGGCAGACACACAGCTTCCACAGCAAGGCAGCCCAGCATCCAGCCCTGACTGCCAACAGCCTGGGCCCACCAGTAGGCAAGCTTCTCCACTGGGCCTGTGGCACTGTAGGCCAGTCTTAAGCTCACCTGAACTCTGACCGTGAACTCTTCTGGATTTCTGCCAGCTTTCCCTGCTGGTATCAGGCAGGGTGAAGTGGCCCTCTAACTGGGAAGCTACCAGCTGTATCATCAGGGGTGGGGTGACCCCCACTGCCTGGAGGACAGAAGTAGAAGGTCTCTTCTGGCTTCAGGTGCTCATGAGCCCCCAAGGGCTTCTCTCTGATTGGAGGCTGTGTGGACGGATGGATGGATGCTGACTGCGGCCCCAGGACTCCCTGCCTCTGAAGTCATCTGATTGGTGAGGAAAGTGGCTGGCACTGAGCTGACATCTTCCTGTGGTTACAGACTGGTATCCTCTATATATGTCAGGGCTGGAGCACATTGGAAATGTGTGGATCCTAGAACCAGTTTTGACATGGGCTCTTGTATATATGGCCTGCTTAAGGGGCTGAGGAAAATGCAGGTATGGAGAAATTTTGTCCCTAATCAAACCAGGCAAATGGAATACTGAGAGCTCTAGGAGTGCAGGAGCAGTGCCACACCAATATTAACCTGAGGCACCTGAGCCTTTGTCTCCTTCCAGGAATGTTGCAGGGAGGGTGGCTGGAGAAGGCTCAGAGCACAGGGATCTAGGGACTGCCTGGTTAGGCATGACTCTCTAGGAGAGTAAGGGGACACTGTTGACCTAACCTAACCTCAGAGCATGGAGACTGGGTCACTTGGAGCTCCATAGCTCTTTACATATAAGAAGCCATGGAAGTAGGGGAGGCATTATGTGGTGCTTCTCTCAGAAACCCTGTTTGGACTGCAGCCTTGGATTTTGGCCTGTTGAACTGCAACCTGGCCTCCTCAGGAGATCTTCGGAGGGGGGCACACACACTCCAGGCTCCTCAGACTTGGGAGCCAGCCTCTCTGCCATTTTGGAAAATGCATTGTTAGTGAAGCCCTTGGAGGTTCAGGTTGAGGGATGATTTTGAGCCAAGTAGCAGGCTTGGGGGCAGGACAAACTCTCAAGGCTGTTGCAGACCCAGTACCCTATTCTGGCCTCCAAGTTTGAATCCTGAACAACATGTGGACACCATTTCCGTGTTAGAATATAACTACAGGAGACAGATAATATTACAGAAGCCTCATCTCTAGGCCTTTTGATAGCAGCTAGGACCCTGGGCCCCTTCTCTTTCATGGCGGGGCTTCCTCCAGCTGCCCCTAACCACCACTTGTCAGTGGTTGCCCTCTCCAAAGAGAGGGAAACTGAGAGCTTGCACTGGGCTTCAAACTGAGACCAAATGTGGTAGAAAAAAAGTAAATCTTGAGTTCATTGTCAAGGGATGCTAAGTCCTTATACAAATGAAGTAAGGAATAGTGAACATGAGGTAAGGTGTGAATTTGGAAAAGTACAGAGCAATTTCAGGGAGTTCATTCATTCATTCAATAATCCATTCATCCATTCACTTGCCAAATATATATCAAGCACCTACTGTGTGCCAAAGGTAGCTCAGCATCAGGGGCTTGCCACCAAGTACTTCCCCCTACCCAGTCT